AATAAATTAAGTTACAGAACTATGTTATTTCGATGTTCCATGTGTTCGTACATTATATAAAATTTAATATTGAATCTTTAATTTTACAATTTTCTTGGGGCAAATCAAATGGCGACCGAAAGGCGCCTTTCGAGTGCAAAGGGTTAAAGGCAGGTTTATATCGACTTTCTACAAGAAAACACGGGAATTTAACATAATAATGAACAATAATATGTAATTATATGGCATATAACAATAAATTTATTTATATAAATTGTACATAATTTCATATATTTATATATCATATATTACGTGATGTAGTATATAATAAAATAACATATAATACATAATAATACATCATAAATAATATATAATTGTTTAATTTTTTTGATTTTTTGTAAACTTTCCATACCAATGAGGAAAATTAAAAGATCATAAAATTTCTATTGAAAAATTGTCGAAGATGAAAGTGATATAAATTTATAAGAAAAAAATTTGTTTCGAAGCATTAAACTTAACAACCTTAGAAAGTGGTTTTCCGAAACATTGCAGATCGCGAAACACTCGCGCAGTCACCTGATTTGCGACCCACTGCGGTAACAAAATACTTTAGAATAAAAAGGCGGACATACGCGGAAGATTTTATTTCTGAATAACAATCTTAAAACCGTACTGAATACAACTGTGCTTGAAAGAATACCGAGACGCATCCTAATCTATAACAAAATTATTCTCGAAGTAGTGCAACTGCAAGAAATATCAATGATATATTAGTTATGTTAAAATGTGGATATTTACATAAAGATTTATGGTAAAAAGGTAATGAATCATTAAAGGTAGAGTATGTACTTACCTGACAACTCTGATACTGAAGAAAAATGCGTACAACGTTTGCAAAACATACGAAAAGTGTTGCAAATAATTTCAAGAATAAAACGCGAAGTCAAAAAATACCCAACTGCCGGATAGTTCAGCACTTTCCGAGTGTTCCAAGGATAAACAATTTTGTAGAACATTGTTACTCGCATATTAAGCTATCTTAAATAGCAAAAATTTTATAGTTTAGGTAAAATTTTTAAAACGGACTTTTGGCCGTTCAAATCGGGTAAATGACCCACTGTATGTCGTGACGATTCGTCGGTATTTCGGGAGTTAAGGGGATATTCTCTTTTAACCGGTTAACTGTAGAATTTAGTTTCAAAAATCTCTCGTTCTGCACGCAATAAAATGAAGAAATGAAGCGTGTACTTGTCAAACACAGAGCGAATACACCTAGGGTATATTTTAATGAAAAACCAAAGCAAAACGAAGAAGAATTATATATTTATCTGAACAAATAAATTGTTGAAAGAATTAGTACCATTTCAAACTTTAAGCTGACGTGTATACTTGTATCAAACGTAATTAATTGGTTAAAGAAGTCGTTTCTCGGTGACTTTGAAATTAATACACGTGTATATTTCAAGAGAATGCAGTAAAATTTTTGTGCAATTTTTATGCATATTAATTAAGATACTAAATATTAAGTGTACTATTTGCTTTTATACGTCTCCAACGTTTAAGGCATATATCTGACATATCTTACAATTAATAGTTTTTAAATCGATTAGGTAATTCAGTTTTTCCGTGATAAAATGATGGAGTGAATCGGTGCAGTATATAGGTCGTTTTAACTCTTACAACGGCTCAACAGTTCCTTAGTCATAATGGAAATGTTGTTCAACAGAGATAATTCAGTGTATACCGGGGAACATTTATTTTGAAGTTGCTCCATCAATGTTTTCCACGCTCTCTCAAAATTGATGTTGGTGGTAAATTTCGTACGTGAGACTAGCTTTCAGACAGAGCATTTTTTCCACAGCACTCAGGAAAGGTACTTTAAAGTTAAGGTGGAGAAAGTATCGTAAAATGCGAGCCACTTTTCATATTGATCATTGAAAGACCACAGCTAGGTGGGTCTGAATCCTGAATCGGAGTGTTAGTAGTGGCAGGTGTCGTGGCCTTTTCCTCCAAAAAGTCACTTCTCTTAATACATTAAGAAACAAACCTTTTAATTCGTATAAAACTAAATTTAGTCTCCTCTTTCATTATTAAATTTTTATGTATAGAACGCTTCAGTTTGTTTTGACCAAACGGTACCATCATATTCGGTCAAATGAGAAAAACATATAAACAGAGAGTCATAAATGTTTTATTAGTTTTCCGAATTGCAACCCTATTACTTTTCATTTCATTAAATTCATAATCGTTTCGTTGTATTTAATGATGACGCGAATTAATTCATATGCAATACGATTTTTTAAATATTTATTTTACTCCCTATAAGTAGAAAGTTATTGGCATTGTATAATATTCTGTAATGATCGTGGATCACTTCGGAAGACAGTTACTTTATAATTCTCTATTTATAAAATATTTTCTTTCCTTATTTTCAATCACAGATGGAATAGTGCAGTTTGACGGAAACAAACTGAAACACCTTATTTATATTTTTAGTGCCTAATTTTGTCCTATTTGCAACGTGAACGAGTTAGTCATTATTTCAGTGTTTATGTAGTATATAAAAGGAAAATACAACGAAGGAATCATAAGTACAAAAGCTCGGAATTCATACGTAAGTACATAAGTGAATATAAGCAACTTAAATCTTTAATAAGTAGATACCAGAAATTTAAGATCAGTAAACCAATATAGAAATCTGTTTTACCGTGCCACTGAGAGAGTAACACACCATTTAGAGAAGGGAAAAGGATATTATGCTCTGTTTCACAATGTGACAACGTTGTACGATGCGTCGCAACGTTCCACTGTTGCAATTGGCTGCCCACCGAAATACATGGTCAGAAGCGGACTACCTCAAAGAGCTCTTATTTCATAAATCAAAGTATAGGAAGGTTAAAGATGGCGACATAAAGATTGTGTAATAAATAGATGACAAGAAGATTAAGAGTAGATGGAATAGGTGTCTCAAACGCATAGTTACATACTTGGAGACATTAAAATGTATTAATTCTCTATAGGCCCGTGTGGCTTTGAAATCACACACGTAGTAATATATCGATAACTTGTTGATTTATTTAATTTTTACCACAAACTGGTGAATGAAATTAAGTAAATAATTAACTTAAGCTTTTATACGTACACATGTAAACGTTCTACGTCGTTATAATTCCTCAGTAACAAAGTATATTCGTTTTAATAAAGTGATTAAAATTACTGAATATATCGCTAGTTTGTATGTAAAAGTTGATATCTGTTAATTTCACAAAATATAAGCCACATTATAGAGGATTACAATGAATCTTATATTTATTTTTATAATGCAGATAATATCAAAATAAATTCTACGATAACTATATGTATTAATTTTTGAAAAAGTATTGCGTAATTCTAATTCTTAACATTTTCATCAATACTTTAATTTTTTAATGCAATGAAAATTTCCAATTCTATCAGATTTAGAAGTCTTAAACTATAAACGAATGATCAGTAAGACAATGAGATATTTAAATATTATTTAGATTGAAGTTTTCTTACAATAAATTGATACCTACTATAAATTATAATGTTCGTATTTGACATAATAGACTTTAAAGGTTTTTCGGATATAAATGTGAATTTTTGTGGAATGTGTAGCTATACTCAGTAGTAATTAAGGCAAAGAGTTTAAACAGGAACATGGAAATAAGTATTTTGTTGGTTGTGTGATAATATAGAAAAATATCCAAGGATAGAATAATAGACAAATTTTTTCATAATCCAAACTATATAACTTTTAAATGTAATTATATAAGTCTGAATTTATTAATTAATGCATCTTATCATCTTCTAGGGAAAAGTATATTTTTTAAGAAAAATTTTAAGTTTATTGGCGAATAAGCCTTTGCATTCAGACTGAGAAATATACTTTTAAACATTAAATCTGAGAATGTTATACATAGAGCTACGGAGAAACATGAGTTGGTAACCTTTATCATACAGAGTGAGTCACTTGTGTTAAAAACTATTATCTTGGAAATACGCAAAGAATACGCAAAGAACATTTAAAAGGAAATTTAAAAAATTTGAAAGTCAGCGAAGTTATATGGATTTTAAAGATTGTTGTCACTAGACGTATTTATCATCGTGTAAACTTCAAACGCGTTTCTCAAAAAATTATTTTTCATTCTGGTTGAACAAATGTCTCAAAAACTAATTAACCGATTTGAATAATTTTTTCTAAGTTAAAGAATATACTTTTCCTCGGGTAGTGAACCTTTAATGTTTTAAGATTTAGCATATGTATTAATTTTTGAACGATGTAAAATGATTAAAAACTTGTTAAAAATATTTTTAACTTCAAAGTTCTTAAAAAAGGTATTACATTTTTTTACTCTTTTAGGTTCAATGCCTTAGACGTTTTATGCATTTTAAGAATATTTTTGAGTTTCTCGTCTCAGATTTATATTGCGTATTATTTATATATTATGCATTTTCTCATTTTTCTTGTGCGGTTTATACATGTGAGCATTTTCCTGTGCGCATTTTTCGTGTGCGCTTCTTTTTAAATATGGTAATTATACTTGACAATATTAAATAATATTGGCAATTCACAGTACTTCACATAATTGTGATACCTGTTATTCATTAATGTACTGTTAAACTATCTCAACTTTTATATGTATAAATACGATATAACACGTGATAGTAGAAGTCTTATAATATTATACACGCGTATAAAAATGTGCTAAATCGCATACATGTAGCAAATCAATAGTTAATTTGCAGTATCTATGCAATTAAGTTTCTTTTAAGATATTAATTTCAATTTTTATCAGTACTTAAAACATACATATGTAAATATAAGTAGGGACGTTACTATGTAGGTTAATTAACTCTATGACACACTACTCATAAATAAATTTCTATAAATAAAACATTAAACATAATTATTTAAAACAAAATTTTTAAGTGTCGAAGTAATTCATTTAATAAAATGCATTACTTCATACAACAGATTGTTTATTTAATACTGTACTCACCTTAAATCCTTTGTACCAGTCTTTTATAGCCGTTTCATCGTATCTCGTATGCGACTTTAAGAAATCCATATCCTCCTTGCTCAACTTGTCTTTGCTCCCAAAGCAACCCATTTTGTAATCTATAAAAATAAATAATACATATATATATTATTATTATTATTAAAATACAGCTACTACCATATAGTTTGAACAAAATTTTTACATGAATCCATTACAAATTACTTAGGCTTAGGATTACTCTATTACCTTATTATTTTTGTTTTGAAAATTGAATAACATTGAATAATTGAACAATTTTTAAAACATCATTAATGTTTTTGCGTATTTCAGATGTTTTAACTGTTGTTAATTTGAAATTTCCTTAATAATAAGTACAATTTGTTTTAAATGTTTTTTCATACTTTAAATATCATAGAAGGTGGAGTGACAAATTGTTTTAGATTCTATTTATATATGAGAGAATTAAATATATGAATAATGTATGTAAAACTTACAAATATTATTTTACATATGCAATGCTAGTTTGAACGTCTCATAAGTTTGAAAGAAGTGTTGAAATATACTTGGTATTTTTAAAAGAGTTGTTTTGAATGAAAATGTACAACGTGTTTACTGGCTTCCTGAAAAACTTTGCAAGGATCAAATACGTAACATAAATTTCCTAACGTGCACTAAAATAACAAAGAAAAGTAGGTTGGTTTTCAAGAGAATAAACTTACATAATACTGTGCACTACATGATGGCAAATTATTATATGTATAGGTTGTACAAATTTCTCGCAAATTAATGAAACATCAAAAAACAAGAGCAGGTGTAACAAATAACGCAATACCATATTTCGAAAATATCGTTACAAATATACGATGTATTTCATTGTTGTTTCATTATGATGTCAGTACGTTCTATGATTAAAAACAAGGGACAAAATTTAATATTATATATATTGTATATTAATATTATTATTATATATTAGCACAATATTAAAAGGCCGTAAATGCTGTATGAAAAAGTTATAATGATAGAGACAATAGCAATAGACTCAATTTATTAACGATATTATTTTGCATTGACAAGAACACTTTGGATAGAAACTTCAGTAAAGATGACTAATCATTTATAATTTTGATGTTTCTATAAAAATTTTGTATAGAATTTTTAATAAAACTTTACGACTCCATGTTTGTCTGACATTTTTGTTCTTATTTTAACTCTATTTAGCGCAATAAAACTGAAGCATCTTATATATTTTCCAATTGATTTTATACAATACTTCATCACTGATTTTTATAAAATGTATACGTTGTCTTCTGTTCTTTTCAAAATTAGTTGTTGCTTACAATTAGTATAGGATGTATACTATACATGTTCAGTGTGAAACAAAAAGAAACCGTATAACATCTGATTAAATTGTAACGTTTTTTATTTATGTTTGTATGAAAAATTAGAAAGTAGAGAACTACTATCGTGACCTTTTGGCCTGAAACTTGCTTCAGCGGAAAGTTATTGTAGTGGCGCATTGTCTCTAAAGATCAGCTAACGGGAAGCCACCATAGTGACGCGTAGCGGGTAAAGGGTTAATCATCCATCAAATATCTCTGCATCTAAGGCAAGCTGTGCTGGTAGCTTTACTGATGAATTCACCAACAAATCCAGGACGAAACATTTTTCCGTTTTTCCCTTTTGATTTCTCCCTCGTTTTCTCCCGTATTTTCACATTTTTTATTAGAAGCGTCAAAAGTGTATTCTTCACAACAAAATGAAAGTATTATATACATATGTTTAATATTAGAGAATTTGGTTTAAGTGAGGATGAATTAGTATACGAATTCATGTTATTATATGAATCAATATCAACAGAATTTTCCGAAAAACAATATTTACGAAGATTGAAATTCGTCAAAATGTCAGGTTCCTTAAGTTTGGCGTTCAATAATTTCAATGTATTACTTTACACTTAAATATGAAGATACTAGCAGATTGTCTGCGGCATTTATATTTAATACTTAATTGCAATACTGTTTACTTGATATAATTATTGCCGCTGCATACGAACATCAGTAAGTAATAAGTGAAATTAAAACATAAAAATTATACCTTTTGGTCTTATGAGAGATGTGGTAATATAGTTCTTGTTCGTGCTTTTATGTTATTCAACTATAAGTAGGGCTCAGAAGTCAATCAATGCAAGTCACATTTTCGTTTCACGTAGTTTGAAAGGGTTTATATTGTTAAAAGTTTTAGTTGTTAAACCAACTAGGTCATTACTTGCGAAATTATATCTTAAGTACCAAAGTAGTAACGTAATTGCATTATTAACTGACAGTTTTAAAATAGAAACACTTCTGAAATGTTTAAAATGGAAATGTGACTTGAATTGTTTGACACCTAAGCTGTCCATATGAAATGTAATTATTGAATACCGTGGTATTACAAAAAATCTATTAATATCGTCTTTGATGTAAAATCGTCAACATTTACATTCTTATAAATTTGAGGAAAGAATTGTATAAATGTATGTAAATACCTGTATTAACTTTGAACGATAAAATCTCTACTTTTACAATTTTATGTTCATTTTATACTAGAAAACGGGATGGAAAATCAAACTGTTTTTTTTCTCAACAACTTTATAAATTTGTATGTCTTTATAGAATATAAAATTTGAGTTTCAACTGAGACTGACATGGATTTCAAGATTGCAATCTCTTTCTTTTCAAAAGTATTTACAGCTTAAGGTACTGAATTCCGATTTTTTTAACGAAGTTCTAACAATTAAAATATTGACAATTTTTTATTGGAGAATTGGGTAATCGTTTAATTTGGCAGATCAATACTTGTATATTACGAAGCTACTTTGTATTTAATGCGCTTCTTACGTATTAAGAACTTTTTACGAAATTATTTTATTTTGAATGTACATAAAAAATAAAAAGAATAAAAAGAATTGTTAATTTCAACAAAATTTTTAAATTTTTTGTTTCTTAAAAATATTAAGAGACGTGATTTTTCAAATGTTATTGTGATTCATATTAATATATGTGACTATAAGTATATACTTACAATTCTAAACAGTCGCATGGTATAATTACTAGTGAATACTCAAGTAACAGATCAAATAAACTTTTAATAATTTTTGACAGATTGCTTTCTTAAACTTATTGCATATCATAGATTCCACAAAAATAACATGGAGATACAAACGCCAGAAGAGATTATAATATATCTTTAATTTGTTTCCAACAAATTAATCTATATATATACATACAAAGAAAAAAGGAAAATAAAAGGCATCACCTATATAACTTTATGGTTCTTATGTATCGTTCTTATTTATTTATCTATGTTCATTTTAACTGTGTAAATATTGAAGCATTCATTCCTACTGTTATTTTTTTAATGGGAAAACAAAAGTCGTAGTTTAGCAAATAAGTAAATAAATAATTATAAACCGTATATGCGTTTAAACACGGTTACGGAGTATTTCTGCATACAAAATGTAGAGATAAGGCTTACAGTTTTGCTTCTGGAACATCCTGTGCTTTAACAACAGGCAGATTAAAATGACTCGGCAACTGCCGAGCGATGGATAAAACGGGCACTAGAACTCTGGATGAGGATGTGGTTTTATAATCTGAGGAGACGAGATGCAGCTAAGCCTTAAATTATGAGAGCCACGAAAGAGGGTGCACATACGTAAGTGGTTGCGACTGTCAAAAGAAGAAACATGACACAAACGTAAGTGCACTTCTTTTCTTTGTCTACGTTAACCGCTACCGCCTATTGTGCTCATTAGCTGAAACAAGAGTTTGTGTTCAAAATACATTTCTGTTCAAGTAAATCTTTCTCAATGATGACTATAGTGATAAGGCGATTGCGGATCTTTATGCAAATTCAAATGTTTAAAAACTAATTAGAAAAACGGAATTATGACAGAAAACGGTTTTTCTATTGTAAATAGATTTTCAAATTTCTTTCGAGTGCATGAAAATCCGTAGTTTAACCCCTTGCCATTTCTTTCTCAGCTCTGATCGTTAAGACTACTTTGTCTTTTAACAATTTATTGGAAAAAGAGGAAAATTCTAGACATATTCTACGCCTATGTTTCCTTTTAAGTATAATAATTGATTACTGAAGAATAATATTTACTTTAGATTCGAATGAATTGAGTAATAATTATCTTTGTTAAATCATGTTGCAAATCTTCACTACGAGTCTGGCACGTTGTTATAAGGCAAGGGGTTAATTACAAATTAATCATTTTTTTATCAAAGGAGAAATGCATACTGTCGCTATGAACAGAAAATACCCTCCAAATAAAAAATTTAATTCGACGGAATAAGAGATTAAATGTTTCTTTCAATTAGAAAGAGAAGTTTTTTCTTGTAAATAAAATTGTATACATCGTTTATTACTGAATTAAACAAAAGGGCTATCTTTTAAACTTCTCATACAATGGTTTGGCTAGATTTAGAATTTAAGAATCGGTATAATAATACTAACACCAATTTTGAATATTTTTGCACGGTTTAAAGTAGAAGCTTAATGATCCCAAAATTGCATGAAATGGATAAAGTAGGTTAAGCTCAAAGTAGATTATGTAGATTTATTTATTAATGACATTTCGTAATTACAAGAAATACAATAAACTGTGAAAAGGTACATAATTAAACAATGTATGTATTCATTTTATTTTTAATTTAACAGAACCTTCAATAAGGAACATTTAATTCTTTTTAGAAACTTCTGAACAGTTAACAGATAGGTAAGTATGTGAAAAGATGTTTCTTATCATAAGTGAAGAAAGAATTAGTGAAAGAGTTATAAAAAGCACAGATGACGGGTAAAAAGAGAATAGATAGAGACGAACAGAAACGAAGTGCGATAAAAGAAAGTTGCAGCAGAAGTAAAAGAAAAAGAAAATTGAGGTCAGTAGTTGTCACGTTCTGGAAAAATAACATTTGTTTGCCATCGTTTCAATCGTTTATCTGTAAAAACAGTTTCTCATTAGATACATTTCTGTTTTTTTAAATTCATATCTTTATAATATTTTTCGACATCTGTTAATATTCAACAATAGGTATATAACGCAGTGTGAAGATGTTGGCACACAGTCAATGAA